TGTGGCAGCTCGGGACCTCCTGCTTGGCGACAGTGGTGTATTCTGGTTTTGTGCTGTATTCTGGTTTTCTCCTTCCACATATCTCTTCCTGACAGACACATGCCCTCACTGGATACATGCACTGACATACACTCACTTAAAGACACACAGTCATTGTCACACACTGTTTAAGCAAAACACATTTTCACTGAAACATACACATTCACAGAAATACACAATCACTCATTCACTGTTACACACTGTGTATATTTTACCTGCTCCCTGTTCGGGAGAGCTCATACAAACGGGTTCCGTTCGCTTCCAGAACGGGGACCACGTCGAGATCCCATTTTGAATTTTTAGTTAAAACGTTCACACCTCGCTAATGACAATGGCGGTTTGGCAGGCTTTCTGTACCTGGGAGTCACAGAGGCGGGAAACTTTCCTACGCTTGGACTCCCAGGTACAGATGCTCATGGATGAAGACCCCTGGTCACCAGAGGTGGGAAACCCTGAGGATGGATGGCGGGAACTGGGGACAAAGGGACTAGAGTTCCTGTCACACGCACAGGCCTCTGGGAGGGGACACTGAGTGGCGGGAACAGGGGACAAAGGAACTGGGGTCATTGTGTGTGTTCCAGCCCTTGCATGGGGAAAGTATAAAGTCGAGTGTGGCCAATAAAGTTGTTGTTGTACCCCTGGAACTGTGTGTCGTCAGTTACTGTGGGGAATGGGTCTCTTCATTCTGTATTAGCCTAGGTAACCAGTTGGGTTACCCTCGGCCCGCTACAAACACACACATTGCCCGACAGACACACATATACACTAACTGACAGACACGCATTTACAGACAGACACACACTCACTGACAAGGCACACATGCACACTCACACTCACTGACAGAAATGCATACACACTCAGTGTCAGACCCACACAGACTGGGACACACTCACTGACAGATACACATACAACATTCACTGACAGACATATATGCACTCAGTTTCAGACACACACACACTAGCTGACAGACACACACTGACAGACATACACATTCCCTGACAGACACACTCTCAGTGACAGATACACATGCACACATTGACAGACACGGATACACACACTGACAGACACTCAGTGACAGATACACACACTGACAGACACACATACACACTGACTGACAAACACGTATACACTGTCACTGACAAACACATTTACACTCTCACTAACAGACACACACTAACTCTCACTAACTGACACACACACACTCTCACTAACAGGTACACACTGACACACACTAAGAGACACACACACACACTCACTAACAGACACACATACTAACTCAATCACTAACAAACACACACACATAAACTAACTCACAATTTAAAATAATATGACCCTACCTTTAGGTGTGCTGGAGTGAATTCTTCCCTGTGGTCCAGTGGGGCTGACTGCAGCTCGGCAGGTGGTCGGTCAGGCAGGCAGGCGCAGAGAGGAGGCGGGCAGCGAGGCAGCAGTGATCTTCCCTGCTCAGCTTCCTTGCTCGCCTCTTAGTGATGCTGGGGCCGGGGTGACGTCATATTCCGGCTCCAGCATCACTGTGGTAAATACACCGTAAATACACTGCTGCTTGGCGGACTGATAAGGGAGTCTTTGGTGCCTCATATACACACATTGCCCCACACACATGAACTGCCCCCATACACACATGCTGCACCCTCATACACACACTGCCCCTATACACACATACAATGCCCCTCATACATATAAACTGCACTCATCACACACACGGCACCCCTTACTCCCCACCAGGGAGTGTAATGCCCTATGTACCTGTGGGCAGGGAGGGGGGAATAAAATGATTTATTTTGTTTTAAATGTAATAATTAGATAAAATTATTTTTATTTATAAAATAAATAAAATCCACAGACTCCTACCCCACATATTTACACACACACACACACTGCTTCCACTTTACAAACTCACACATACTGCATCCACTGCACAAACACACACACTGCATCCATTACACAAACACAGGCAGTGCATCACTATACAAACACACACACACACTGCATTCACTAATCAAATACTCTCACTGCATCCACTACACACACACATACATTCTTAAAAACATAAAAAATTCTGACTGGCATGTATATTTTGTGCATTTACCTTAATAAAAAATTGCAAAAAAATTAATAAAATAATAGACATGTTCACATGTTAACAGAGATTTGTGTAGCAATAGTATCTTTTTTCAAAACGATAAAGGTACAGAATATCGGTATCGATAAGTTATTGGCTATCAGCCTGAAAGTTCACATATATTGTATCGGCCCCAAAAAATCAATATCAGTCGATTACTAGTAGTGAGCACTCATTTTGTAGGGGGGATGGGGAGGGAGGATTCAAGCTCTAAGCATTGGCAGGGGATGGAGAGAACAGTTGGGGGCGTAGGTCGGATTGATATGGGGTAAAATGTTTAGTTCAGGGAAAATAATTAGGCCTTTGGACTGGTTTGGTAGGTTCAGGCTCGTTGGTAGCTCAGAATCTGGCTGTGTAGGGGTATCTTGGTATACCACAACAATTGTGGAACTATAAAAATGGATGCCCTTGGTGGCAATGGTTTTGTGTTCAACGTTAATTATATGGTGTTATAATGTTGGGATTTATTGTTTATGTAAGATTGGGTCATGGTTGGGGTTTTTTAATTGTATAAAACCAGGATGGTTGATTTACATGTTAATATTGGCATTGTGTTGACAATGACCTACATTTTTTACTTGTTAAAATATATTATCAATAAAAGTTGTAATACTTTTTTCCCAAACATAAATGGTGTCAGTGTCTTTATGGGGATTGGTGTTGGGGTTAAGCATATGCCGCAGAGACGACTATGCACATGCCATGTTATTTATTTATCCAAGTCCTTCTCATTTAATTGTTTTCCCTCAGTTCTTCGGGTATAAATTGTTGGTGCTTACCTCACCCCAGGCGAGTGGGGGCTCCTGTGCTGGGGTGTGTGTGGGCGATCTTTGCTGCTGCTTTACTGTTATATCTCTGGATGCTCAATAAGCTTCAAACAGAAACCATTAATATGTGTGCATCTACATGAGGATATAGCAGTAGCATCAAACTATTTCTACAATGCACTATTGCTAGCTGGAGAAGTGGTCTTTTGTGAACACATTTTAATTAAATTATTTACAAATAGAAGCGGTGCTCTCCTCCATTTACTTCACCCAATCACCTGGCCTGTGGGGTTGAGAGTTTTTTTTTAAAACCCCTACATGCCTGCTACTCACACAATGCTGCTGGTGAAGGGTTAAATTAATTCTGCACACTTACTTCAGAAGAGACATCTCCAGAACTAAGCGACAAACATCTACATATGACCCCCACGTTAGGTTTAAATCCGTCCTCATGGCCCCATCCGCCATGTCTTGGTTGGAGGCTTGTCTACTAAACAGAGAGCAGCCAGTGGCAGCTATTAAAGAAAAACTATAATGCCAGGAAAACAAATGTGTGCTCCTTCACAGCACACTCCACCGTCGAATTCATAGGCGATGTTTACTGAGACTAAATAATCTTCAAACCAGGTTCTCAAGGTGTGCCGCGATTAGGCTGTTTTAAAAAACAATAAATAATAATTTATTATTCTATTGTGAAACTACGCAGTTGTGTTGCTATTTTTCTAAACTTGAAAACACGAAGTGTACACAAATTCACTCAATAAATGTCTATTGAACACATAATTTAAAAAAAAAAAAGGGCTGTTGTTTAATTTTGTCCTTTCAGCTGCTAAGAAGATAGCTACCTAATTTGGTATCCTTATGTGGGATTCCTATTTTTGAAATATACCAAATAAGGGAGCTACCTACTTAAAAGCTCTAGAATTTTTACCTGATTGTTTAATGTAAGAGATTCGGTTTGGATGAACTGAAATTTATTTTCGTCCAAACATTTCAGAAGAATCCACATTTTTCACGGTGCACAAGTCTAGTTGTCATCCTTTATCCCACCATATTTTATTTTTGTTTTTATTATGTTTTTATCGTTTTAATTTATATAACATATTTTATATTCTTTTTTCCAACATATGGAACGTGGGATAACCCTGAGAATGATATGGCAAAGCCTTCCTCCACTACACTAACAATGATGCTCAATGCATCACTGACCAGGACCGCCCTTTATCCCACTTTAATATTGCCCAGTTAGGGGAGATTTGCTGTCTATACAGAGATCATGCACCTTCAATTTTCTATGAAGCAAAAGGTACTTTCTCAACCTTATGTTTGCCAACCTTAAAAGGAGTTGTGGTGACCCTTTATAAAGTTTATGAGTAAGTGTTCTGACGAATACTTTCCACCATTGATGGAATAAATAAATAAATCCATACATGTTTGTTAAAGGAATTCTTCAAGTACCATAACCACTATAGCTTGGTGATGCAAGACTTAGCGAATTAGTTGAGCGAGATCAGAAGATGTGGGGCAGCAGCGCCTTGTGGACCCCAAATAAGGAGTCAAACCATTCTAAATCAGTTTGACTACTTTAAATGGGTGGGGTACATGGGCACCTCTTGGCACCATACCCAATACAGGGTGCTGTAGTGATTATGGTGTTTGGTGTGTTCCGTGAACTAAAACAGGAAATGACAAGTGAATTTCATATATTAGTCCACAAATAGCTGAGCTGGAAACAAACCTTGGTTTGAGAAATGTATCCAGTTTTGCCCTAAAATAATATCCCCAAGAACGCATTTCCCAGTTTAGTATATAATCCTGCATGGTTTTATTTACTAAACCTCGAATTGCACTGAGTTTAATCCTTACCCCTATCCCAGCATTTCATGTAAACCGAAAATACACTCTAGAACTTTTTCTTAAGATAACTCAAACGTTCTAAATTCTATGCTCAGCCTGCTTTGCTCATTGTTTCTGCCTCTACCAACATGGCGGCATACGCCCAACCGTGACGTTTTATTCGTGCGCCTCCCTGTGGGGGCATACGTCACCTGCAGTTGCCATGGTTAACCGGCAGATTTGACAGCCGGCACGGAGACAGTGGGAGGTTAGACGGAGCTGAGAAGGTAAGGATGGGAGAGAGGGCGCAGCAGGAGATAAGAAGGACAGACATTGCACCCATTGCAGACAGCAGGCAGCAGGCAGCAGACAGCAGGGCCTTGTGTGCCTATCCTTACCATCATAGGAGCTGGGATCATGCTGCACCTTGTATGGAACACAGTGTCATATGTATCATTACAGCAACATTCTACTAATATAAAAATATACAGTATTTTATATGTCTATATATTTTGTAATTCTTTATTTAAAGACAAGATATGTCACATTACATTGTGCCACATCTCAAGAAAAAAAACATGCATACAATTTCTATATTTTAACGTAGGAACAATAAGAGAGAGAGAAAAAAAATCAAAACAGTATTCTCTAAGTATCAATACCAATCAGAGTCAAGACAGGCCTACATAGCCTTTCTATGTATATGACCCACCATTTGTAGATAGTTGTAGTAATGACTAGAGATCAGGGCAACTCATTTATTTTACCTTCTAAGCATTAAGCAGAGCATAATTGCTGTGGAATTGTATCATCCCATATAACTCACTATATTCATGTGCTCATTTCCATTCCATATTTATCAATTTATCAATAGAATGTATGCATCATATCATTTTCGCTCTTATTTGTATAATGTGTGTTATCCATTTTTTAAAATTCTTTTTAAAGAAATAAATGAAGACATTATTTGTGTACATTAACATGTTTTATTGATATTATCGCACTTTATATCATTAAAACTTCACTTAAAATATATGTAAAGGAGTATCTTTCTTCAAATCCTTATTCGAAAAAGCTTGTGCTTGGTACATTGAAAGCAATGCAAGCCTTCAGATTTAAAACACTAGGCATACTAGGAATGAGCTACAGGATGGATAAAAATTGGTAAGCCAAAAACACAGCTTGTTGCTGGTACAGGCTAATAAAAGAATTGTTTAGCTAACAAATGAATGACCAATAGTTTAAATATTTACTTGTCATCAGACGATATTATTGGAAATCGAAAAGAACAGGCATATAGTATACATGTATTTTTCTTTTTTAAAAAGGGAACCTTGGTGAATAGGAACATAATATATATCATAGAATGGTTTAATTATATGTAAGGTATTATATGGTTAATACATGCATTTGTAAAGAAAATTTAAAGGAACACTAGTGTCTGAAATACAAACAAATATTGCTGACATTACGGTGCTGAAATGCAGGAGAGTAAAGGTGATTTTATTATTATATTTATATAGCGCCCTCAAATTCCGCAGAGTTTGCAATGGGTGGACGAACAGACATGTAGTTGTAACCAGACAAGTTGGACACACAGGAACAGAGGGGTTGAGGACCCTGCTCAATGAGCTTACATGCTAGAGGGAGTGGGGTAAAATGACACAAAAAGGTAAGGATAGTATTAGACTAGTGACAGTTGCAGAAGAGGAATTAGTCAGGAGCTATTAACAGTTTAATTGATACGCTTTTATGAAGAAGTAGGTTTTTAACGATTTTTTGAAGGAGTGGAGACTGGGTGAGCATCTAACGGAGGAGGAAAGCGAGTTCCACAGGAACAGTGTAGCCCTCGAGAAATCTTGAAGGTGAGCATCAGAGGTGGGAGTACAGACAGAAGATAGACATACGTCTTCAGCAGATCGTAAGGGCCTAGACGGGACATACTTGTGTTTAAGGGAGGATAGATAGGTGGGAGCAGCATTATGTAGAGATTTGAAAGCAAGAACCAGAATTTTAAATTGAGCTCTATATTTTCTAAGAAGCCAATATAGGGACTAACAGAAGGGTGAGGCATGGGAGGTGCGGGCGGACAGGAAGATGTGCCTCGCTGCCGCATTCATTATGGACTGTAATGGAGCAGGTTTGGAGCACGTAAGACCACTGAGAAGCGAATTACAGTAGTCAAGGTGAGAAAGGACAGTGGAATGGACCAACACGTAAGTCGCATCTGGTGTTAAGTAGGGCAGATGCGCGCAATGTGTTTGAGGTGGAAATGACAGGATTTGGAGATTGAACATGAGGCTTGAAGGAGAGGTCGGAGTCAAAGAGAACACCTAGGCAGTGAGCCTGCGTGGTGGAGCTGATGGTAGCACCGGTGACTTGGAGGGAGACAGACACAGGAATAACAACACTGGAGGGAGGAAAGACCAGAATTTCAGTCTTGGTCAAGTTTAGTTTAAGGAAGTGGGCAGCAATCCAGTTAGAAATACCAGAGAGGCAGGCAGATACACTTGTCAAGAGGGACGGGGGGAGATCAGGAGAGGACAGGTAGATTTGCGTGTCATCTGCATAAATGATATTGGAAGCCAAAGGAGCTAATGAGTTTACCAAGGGAGGCAGTATAGATGGAGAACAGTAGGGGACCAAGGACTGAACCTTGGTGGACACCAACAGAAAGGAGTTGGGGAGAAGAAGCAGAGCCAGAGCCAGAGAAAGAAACACTGAAAGAGCACTGGGAGAGGTAGGAGGAGCACCACGAGAGAGCAATATCTTGTAGACCGATATTGCAGAGGATGAGAAAATCTGTTGATGATCAACAGTGTGAAAAGCAGCAGACAGGTCAAGGAGAATTAGGATAGAGTAGTGACCAAGAGATTTTGCAGCGAGTAGATCATTGGATATTTTACTCACCTTTTCTCCCACTCCACGGCTGGCCCTGCTTTTGTGGCTAAGATCACCACTTTTGAAGGTCTCTGTCAATCTAAAGCTTTCCAGTAGTGCCAATCAGCATTTCCGCATAGAGATACATTGAATCAGTGCATCTCTATGGGGAGTGTTCAGGACCTCCATGCAGGGAGTGAAGACGCTAAACGCCAGTGCTGCTCACTGTGCAGCAATGACACAGGAAGCGCTTCTGGTGGCCCTCTAACTGCCATAGGATGTGTCACTGGTCAGCAATGTAAACACTGACTTTTCTCTGAAAACACAGTGTTTGCAGTGCTAAGGCTGCAGGGCCATGCTATAAACCGGTGGCGGTGTTTTGAGAAATTTTAGGTGACTAATAATTTATGCAACTAAAATGTAATTTAGAAGAAGAACAATGTATCTTACTGACACAGATTGATTTCTAAACATATTTATGGTAACTTAAAGACACATTACTGTAAGTATTATTGCTGTGGCGGTCTGTTATACACTCATACAGACCAACAATATGGAGCTCCAAGAAAAGAGTGTCAGAGGGATCTGGGCCCAGAATAGGGACTGACACCCATAACAGGGACACTTAGGAGGTATGCATTATTTAGAGAACTAGAAAAAGATTAAGTTAATAGGAAAATGGCTTCCAGGGCATAAACCCATGAGAAAAGGAAAAATGTAACAAATTATACCACTGCAGAGAATTAATGAAAATAATGAGTACAAAATCTTATCGTCCTAAGTCTTCATATAAATCGTTTCATGGAAAGCGAGAGTACTAAGAATATTGGAAGATTTAAGAAAACTAGCCTTTATTCAACAGAATTGGGAAAATGGTGTAATGTTAGAGAGGAGGAAACTAAATGGTGCACTTAATACAATTCCATCTTATTTTTTATGTAGACAGGATCGGAGATATCAAGTTCTTATTGTGACCTTGAAGATGGCCAAGGACAAAAACAGCAGGCAAGTTTTAATGTTATTTTGATAAGGCGGGTAACTTTCATGTATGTTTATAGAAGTGGAAAATGTTCTACATACAGTATAAATCCTGCAGGTTTTAAGAGAATCCGCCAGTGATTGCATTGTGATCAACTTCAATTCTGAACAATTAACAGTTTTAACTTGTACATAATCACAGTAGGATTTACAGAATATTTAAGATAGACAGAACTGCAGCTGGGCTGCATTCAGAATTTTGTTTTTATTTATGTAAAGGAAGTTACATTTAAAACTCAGAGAGAAACGTGATTTATAAACTAGCAGAAGTACCCTCTGATCACACAGACTAAACTAAAATCTGGTTGCATTTTGAGTGCAATATTTACAATTATGTGGGTGGAAGTGTCAAACTTTGGTAAATGTATGGTATTGAGACATTGGGGGATCTTGGGGTGGAGGGAGGGGTTATAAGGGCTTCTTATTAGGAGTCAGGAACATTTATGTCTGGCCAGCAGCAACTCCATTACATGTGAAGAGTGTGTGTGTGTGTGTGTGTATATATATATATATATATATATATATCTGTTTATCTAATTCAAGCGTGGTTGTCTGTATGTGAGTGTAGATATTTGCATTTGGGTATATTTATTAATCTGTGTAGGTGTAGATAAGGGTATTTGTTATTTTATCTTAGTTTTTTTTTTTTTTTTTTGAGTATCTGTATTTGTGTATGTGTCCATTTTCTAAAGATGAAATTTGACAGTGCGTATCTTGAATTTGGGCTCTGGATTTGCTCCAGTGTGAAGAAAGGTGAAAATATCATTATGCTTACTCAGAAAGTGCTAGGGTGGCAAATATGTGTAGATCTACTTTGAAGCAAAGTAGCAGGTAACATTTTTATGGGCTACTGTGCAAAAATCCCTGTTCAAAAGTGTAGGCACCTGTACCTTTAAGTCCTGAGGACGAATCAGAGTTTAAGTAAGAAGTCGTTACTGGCCGAAGTCTGATTTTCCATTCATACCACATACTGACCTTTTAAGTGTGAATTCAATTGGAATCTCCAGTGTGAAGCTGAATATAGTAGGAACTTGCAAAATATGAAATTGGCAGTGTATTTTCACATAAGTTCTTTAAATAGAGAGTGTCAGGATAACTCAAGTATAAAGTTAGCAAGCACGCCCCGGACGCTAAAAAATATATGTTGGCGTGTTCCTTTAAGCACTAATGCATTCTTGTTATCATACTGCCTGGAACTTGTACTATGATCTTTCATTAATGCTTCAAAGATGAAAATCCAAGCACACTATCCAATTGAAAAGCATTCCTGCAGCGGCACAGTAGGTTCAATGATAGCATGGGAGTGTTTCATGCTACTGTAAAAATGATTAATGACAAGAAATATTTAATATTAGACAACTAGACAATCACAAGGAGTGGTTAGGAATGTATGATCAGTTGGCTGTGTATCTAGAAACCTCTACTCTTGCCAAAAAGCAGATTAAAGATGTTGGACTGTGTTTGCACTTATCATTGAATAATACACACACATTCAGTCATGCAAACTCACATGCTGACTCTGGAATCAACTTGTAACGTTTGGCTGTATGGCAGCTACCACATGCGGGATATAACTTGTGCCATGTGGTCTTTATATTGATGCAACATCAGAGAAATAATAGATCAATTCAAATGTGTTCTATGCTCTCTTCTAGTACATAAGCTATTGTTATAGGGTATATAGAAAAATCGAATGAAATCTAGAAAACAGACCTTTATTCTGGCAGGCTTAAAGACCTGGGCTCAACCCAAATAATTATTGATAAATAAACTAATCCGAGCACTTAAAGGGACACTCCACGGCCCAAATTCAAAATGAATGAAAACGCACTGTTTAGTAGATATACCACAAATGAAAACTTGCATACATTTAAGAATGAAAAGCTGCATATCTCTTATCTGCTGCCCTTGCAAGCCCTCCACTCTTGCTGTGACTGTCCAATCACAGACTCAATGAGATGTCTTTGCTTTGGGAAATTGCTGCCTCTCGAGTTCAGTGCGAATGAGCTAAACAAACCAGGAAGTAACCGGACCTGCTGTCTGCTTGAAAAGCCAGGGGGGTGTAACCAGTATAACTTTATAAAAGTGTCAATTTCTATTGAAATCTGCACTATTTCCAAAATGAAAAAGGGTACATTCTGCACACATAAAGCTTGTCAACAAGCTAAAGTGCTCTAAGGATCTGGAGTGTCCCTTTAACAGCACTTGAAGAATTGTCTTTCATTAGAACATGTTGGACATGAACTAGATCATCATATTGATTCTCTGAGGTTGAATTACTTAGAATGCTCATTTCAAAGGCATTGCCCATTTTTCTATTATTTATGCCAATCATTGATTCTAGTGTTTTTAATATGCATTTAGTGATATTTTTACTCTAAACATCATCTATGCCATCTCCTAATTAGCTCCCTGACAAACTGTATACTCTGCCTCTTGAGTAAGTCTTTCTCCTCAGAAGCACTTATAGCGTTCCTTGCTAGCTATAAGAGTGCTTTGTCTCCACTTCCCACACAAGAATGCAATGACATCATGATGCTGTGTGAGGCTTCGAGCTCACAGCACAAAAGATTTACACTGTAGCAGCTTCCCTGCAGAGCACACTACTGTTTATTAGATTGTGTGTTCAATAATTAATTCATTAAAAAAAAAATTAATTATCGCTCAGCTTGGTCCCTCTGCATTATTGATATATGCTTAGATCCATCTCCGTGTGTAAGCTAGCTAGGTCTGATTTTTCTGCATTGGTATGTGCTTAGATCCATCTCAGTGTGTAATCTAGCTAGGTCTGAAGTGTCTGCATTGGTATGTGCTTAGATCAGTCTCACAGCTCAGTTCCACCTCCTTTACTCACATGCTATGTGAAAAAAGGATGGGAGGAAGACTGTTTAGGGCCTCTCTCCATTATTTTCCACTACTGGAACCTGCACCTATGCAAAGCATGTGTGTTGACAGCATTGTGGGTGATGTAGTTCCCCTAAATCTTAGATTCTGGTTGTGTAACTAACTCCTCATTAGAAATGGGGAGCAGCACAAGTACAATTGTTATTATAACCATATACATAATATCTGATTTAACCATTAACTGTTCATCCTTTATATTGAGAGTAGGCTAGAAATCACTTGGTTTAAGTATTTTTAAGATGTTTGTTGCAATACGATTTTGCATATCTTTTTCACCAGTCTGAGTGTATTTCTTTTTCTGCAGCAGTCTTCATTTGCTGGATCTACCCTGGGAAGATGTGTTAGTCCCACATATCCTTTCGTATTTACCATTAAGACACATTCTCAGCCTCCAAAGGGTTAGCAAACCTTTCCAGTCTCTAGTGCAACTCTATCTGGCCAATTGCCGTTGGTTTGACTCCACTCAGGTAATTCGATATTTTTTTTCCTATACTTTTTTTAATGAAAATTATGAAACAGATTGCGCAAGGTGATATTTAGGTTAAGTATAATATTGTTAATTTTCTACTGTAGTGGTGAAATCAATATATATATATTCATGGAGCAAAAAGTAACAGAGATGGTTGTAAAGGAGGGAATGAGAAGGTGGGCTTATGAAGCAGACAGAATGATCAGAGAAACCCAGGGCTTTTGTGATTAACGTCACCACTCACTCCTTACCTGTCTTGATAATCTGGAATTTAAACATCTGCATTATTATCAGTTCTGTCTAATGTAGACGGCAAAGATAGGCTTAGAGCAGGTTAGCAGAAAATGAGGAATACATTTACAATGAGGCTAGAGTATAAAAAGATGGCTTTATGACAAGTGAAAAAAGGATGATTCATTGGAAACAGATCTTTATGGTGCTCGCATGTAGAAATTTAGTAACATAGTATTAGAGGTTGAAAAAAGATGAAAGTTAATTAAGTTCAACCTTTCACATGACTCTTAATTGGTGTTGATCCAAAAGAGGCAAAAATCAAATTTTTCCACAGATTAAAGGACCACTATAGTGCCAGGAAAACAAACTCGTTTTCCTGGCTCTATAGGGTCTTTAGGTCCACCCCACCCTCAGGGTCCCACTCCCGCCGGGCTCTAGGGGTAGGAAGGGGTTACCTTTCTCCAGCGCTGGGCTCCCTCGGCGCTGAGGACTCTCCTCCCTTTTCCAACATCATTGGCTGAATGCGCATGCGCGGCTCAATGCTTTCCTATGGACACTGGTGTCTTCTCACTGTGAAAATCACAGTGAGAAGCGCGGAAGCGCCTCTAGCGGCTGTCAATGAGACAGCCACTAGAGTCTGGATTAACCCTAATGTAAACTGCTATGTTTACAGCAGGCAGGGTTAACCCTAGATGGTTCTGGCACCCAGACCACTTCATTGAGCTGTAGTGGTCCTTTAAGGAAAACAGGTTCTTCTTGACTCCAGTATAGCAGTCAGATTTCTCCTTGTATTAACAAGCTGATAGATCTAAATTGAACATACTTTGACAGAGCTTTTTATACCAACAAAACCTGAGAAACAGGAAGGTGGCTCCAGAATACATCATCTGTAGAAGTAAAGCTAGCTGAGTTAGTGGTCTCGAAATGTTAAGAGAGCTTTGGGGTGTTACAAGGGAGAGATATGAAAGGAAATTCTGTAAATATTGAGAGTTATGGCAGTAGATCCAGAGAAATACTGAAATCTTATGAGTGGTATTTTCATAATAACTTGGCACATATGCCACCCTCTCGTTGGCATTCTTACCCACTTCACTATGTCACATCTGAGAAACATAGAGAATATAATCAGGGAAATCCCTGCTTCCCTTTATAAAAGCATTAATCTGCATTTTCTGTAAAATACAGTGGTCCCATCTGGCAAGGAGAGCGCTAAGAGTTCCGGAAAAATGTTTACTCATTAACAGAGCAAGATATATGTAGGCATGTATTTATCTATTTACATTGTCAGCCAATTTGCACATTGTTTTTGTGAAACATTATAAATGTTTTATAATACATGTTATGTCATTTAAAGTAAACCTTACAATCCTTAGAAGAGTGGTGAAGGCCGTGCATTTCTGACCGTAAATGGAAGGCTTCAGTAAAGTAGTTAGGGTGATGTATTTTTAGCTCCGCCAAACTGTGTACACACAAATGTATACCTTTTTTATGTATTCAACAGAATTATCACATTATGATTATGTCACTGAACAGTTTATTTTGAATCTAATTGCAGATTTCTAACCATAATAGCTGAGTGGGGAAAAATGTCTACTTTGGCAATTGTGGCTTTTACCAGTCTGAATTCTACTGTACCTAATTAGGAAAAACCATCTGCTTGTGAGGGGACATTCGGACTACAAGATCCAGACATTGATCACACAATTTATCAATGTCCAGATTTTGCAATTCTGTCTCCAAAGGAGACCATATTTCAGCCTGTCTGAATGCTGTCAGGCAGTGCAAAGCAAATCTGGCCCTGGAGTGTAAAAACTATTTTGCCCACTGCCATCATGAATATATTTCAAAATAATCCTTGGCACACTGAAAGTAAAAAAATAAAAGGGTATGTGTGTAAATATGACCTCTTTTAACTGTAGGGAGGTATATTTCCTTCCTTACACCCTAATCCAACATGCCGCTCAACAATTAATGCCCCAGCAGTGCTGTCACTAAAAAACAAAACAAACAAAAAAACTGTACCTGCACAGTCACTAAAAAGGCCCTATTCCATTGATTAGAATAATAGTGTCAACTGGATTTTGCTTTCGTAAATATAAGCAATTTAGTGAATAACACTGACAGTATTTGAGAAAATGTGAATTTGTGGAGAATTACACGGAAATTGAAAAAGGGGAAAAAAATTGTCAAAACCCCAAAGCTGGAAAAGAGAATTGTTGTTTTTCCCCCAATTTAACTACGTTGGGCAAATAATTGCACTTCATTGTTAAATTCTCCACCAGTTCACTGTGTAGTGAATAATCTTGATAGTAAAAATCTGTACAAAGGATCAGCGCTAATATACTAGATCTTACAGAGATAAATATAAGGCAGCACACCTGAAAAATAGGGCTTCCTCACAGGCCCTGTAGAGTAGACAAAACTAAAAAAGGTGAAGGGGGAGGCGGCGCCACAGGTGAAAAAAAACCTGATTTATAAACTATACAAGCATATATATAAGACACTATATAAGAGAAAATACATACAAGATAAAAAAACAAAAAGAGTTTGAAATATGGATAATAATCAAGAGTCCAAAAAGTAAGTCCAAAAGAGTATATGCCTGATAAGTACAGCAAAAAGTCCAAGTAAAACCTTGTATAAGACGTCAATCACAATCTTGTCAGGGGAAGTATTCCTCAGTAAGATATGGGCATGGGATATTCGTGAGATCCGTATGAAAAAATAAAAAGAAAGCAAGTAATGGTGCAGTATATCTCAACAGGTACTAAGTACTATTTTTTTAAGAGGTCCATATGGTCCTACTCACGTTTTCCAGAGCTATAAGACTAGCTCTAGTGTGGTTGGCATACAGTGGTACAATCCCCAATTATGGGATACATGAAGTTTTGTAGTAGATGGATATCTTGTTGATATAAGGACCATATGAAATATAAAAGAAACCATAACAGTGCTTATTGTATAAAATCCAATGGTGAAATAATAAAATACCAAGTGGTTGCTCACATTTTATTGAGCAGGCAGACTGCTCAATGGATAAAGCTCGAGTGCTATAATCCCCACCAAGGATTCTTTGAAGTAAAATTCTCACTGGAACTAATAATAATCTTGATAGTGTCAATAGGCCTATGATTTTGATATCTAACACTTTTATAGAATGTGTATACATCCAAATGTTACTACTGCTTCATGATATGATGATTTAAAGGGACACTATAGTCACCAGAACAACTACAGCTTAAAGGACCACTATAGTGCCAGGAAAACAAACTCGTTTTCCTGGCACTATAGTGTTAATAGGTCCCCTCCACCCTCATGGAACCCCTCCCGCCGGGCTCTAGGGGGAGGAAGGGGTTAAATGCTTACCTTTCGCCAGCGCAGGGGATTCTCCTCCCTCTTCCGACGAATGTGCATGCGCGGCTAGAGCCGCGTACGGCCCTAATCAGTCCATAAGAAAGCATTTCTCAATGCTTTCCTATGGACGCAAGCTTCTTCTCACTGTGAAAATCACAGTGAGAAACACGGAAGCGCCTCTAGCGGCTGTCAATGAGACAGCCACTAGAGGCTGGATAAACCCTAATTTAAACAAAGCAGTTTCTCTGAAACTGCTATGTTTACAGCTGCAGGGTTAACCCTAGATGGACCTGGCACCCAGACCACTTCATTGAGCTGAAGTGGTCTGGGTGCCTATAGTGGTCCTTTAATGTAGTTGTTCTGGTGAGTAAAATCATTCCCTTCACGCTTTTTGTTGTAAACCCTGTCTTTTCAGAGAAAAGGCAGTTTACATTATAGCCTATGGACACCTCCAGTAGCCACTCCTCATATAGCTCCTGGAGGTGCTTCATGGGGCAGTGTGCAGCACTGCCATTCAGTGTCTCCACTCTCTTTATGGAGACACTGAACTTTCTTCATAGAGATGCATTGATTCAATGCATCTCTATCAGGAGATACTGATTGGCCAGGGCTTTGTTTGGTTTGTGATGGCTCTGCTGCCTTGGCAATCTCAGCCAATCCAGTGGGTAAACATTGTGATTGGCTGAGATTATCACTTCTGATGATGTCCGCCAAGGAGGGAGATCAGAGACAGAACAAGCAGCAGCAAATTGGCTTACTATATTTAGGAGGGCAAGGGGGGAGGGAGGCCCAGATGGTGTTTTTAACACTATAGGGTCAGAAATATCCTGACCCTATAGCGTTCCTTTAAGCAGAACTGCATGCCATAATAGACACAATGCAATGAAACACTTTGCTTATCAATGATTAAAGTATTTATCGAATAGATTTATATTGGCTTTAATATTAGAATTACAACATACTACGCTGTCCGTTCAGTTCTTCACGCATTGTATCATCTTTATTTTTTCTGCAGAAGGAACACTACCTATAGCTTTTCCACCACCTTCCTTTTATGATGTTTCTTTATTTTTTGTTTTACAGCTTGGATCACAATTACCCAAGAGAGCTTTTTGTAATATGCTTAAAGATAATTCAGTTTTGCAGAGACTTGACTTACGGAGCTGCTCTGATTGGTTAACAGACAAGGAGCTGCTTCCTATAATTGGTCAGAATCACCATCTCCTTCACATAAATTTAAATAGCTGTGTGCAGCTGAGCCGCCAGTCACTAGTTGCAATCTCCCTAAGTTGCCCTCACTTACAGAACATCTGCCTCGGTCACTGTGAGTGGGTGGATTGTCTTTCCCTCCGTAGCCTTGCCGATCACTGTAAAAACTTGGAGGCCGTGGATCTGACTGCATGTCGGCAAGTCAAGGATGATGCCGTGTGCTACATGGTGTCAAAAAGCAAAAGACTAAAATCACTTTCACTGGCTGTTAATGCAAACATCGGTGACGTTGCCGTAGAAGAAACGGCTAAAAGCTGTCGAGATTTAGAGCATCTCGATTTAACAGGATGTCTGCGTGTGAAGAACGAATCAATAAGGTACTAGTTATTTAATGTTAGTAACTGTATGTAAAATGGAAAATTTGCACTCGAAAATGGGGTCAGTAATGGAATTCTAATTATGTTTTATTACTGAAAATAAAATGACAAAGAATAAAACGTATTTATAGATTTTGTAATGCATACTTCTAAACTTCGGAAGGGCCTCGTTTACCCCACCCCTGCTTCCTGGAGAAAGCCATCTTCAAATCACTCTAGCTGCACTAATCTGACTGATAACCATGTTTAATTTGAATAGTTGAAACTTTCTCAGAGCCAGTTTTTGACATGTTTGGCAATTGTCTGGATTTGTGAATGCATGATAGCTCTCAATTGCCTGTATGGTTTGACGATAATACTTTTGAAGAACGAGTACATAAAGAAACCCTGTGTATGTATACTGGGCACTACCAATCAGTTAGACTATTTGTGGAAAGGTGATGTATGGCCGAAGAGGCGGTGGATATGCTACAGAAAGCTGCTAGACAAATAGAGTAAGAATATGAAAAACAGAAAATGCACTTATGTTGTGTTAATTCCTGGAGTGTCTCTTTAACAATGGTGGCCTCATTTACAGGAAATAGGTATTTACATTGCACACAGTCTATAATAGATAGATTTTACTTTAAAATAGATTGTTTATGGTATGTAACATGAAGGTAAATATTGATATTTTAGTTGCTTAATATGCATTTGCTGAGGAAAAGAGAGAGTAATTTATACATGATACAATTCCAAAGTCCTTTTCCACTAAAACTGATTAGAAAGGAGGTCAAAGAGGAGGAAAAAATATAATAATTTACTAATCAAAATGTACAATTGTACAGAGCTCCATACAAATCTAACAAAGATTTTTCTCAAATGGTGATTTTTAAATGGTTAGTCGCACCAAAAAACTCTATTCACTAATTTAACATTAGCCATCATGGGAGTACTTTCCACCTATGATGCTCCTAGAGGTGGACTTACACCTCTGGCAACAAAACGAAGTATCACTGTATGTGCAGCATGAAACCTAACTATACTAGAAAACTGTTCACTGATAAAAGAAAAAGGGATATTTAAGGCAGACCCAACATTTGTTTAGGTGGGGCAAGAGGGGCAGTAGTTCTACACTGTGAGCGTATTCTTAAATGTGAGTTGATGAGTTTCCTGCACTGTCCATGTCTGCCCTCTGATGGCTCTTCTTTAAGTCCTCCACTCTCCTTCCCCAATCATTACTCCCCTGTGTTCCTGTAAAACTAATCAGCTCATATATTCCTGCAGTTGACTCCCTCTCCAAACCCATCAGTCACTATGAATAACCCTGCTACCTCGAGTAATCTGCCCCTCATTTATACCTTTTTTTTTTTTTTTTTATCCTGGCAAACTTACCAATTACCATGCTGCTTATCTGCAAGTCTAGTCTACTCTACATACTCAATAGTACTGATGTTTAGACGTGTTTGTTAATTTGTCTCTAACAAACAAACCAAAAAATGAGGCTGTCACACTCCAGAGTTCATTTAATTGTGCATGTTGCTGCCTGCAATTTTGTTCTGTGCCATCTGCAAATCATATCCCTTTGTCCAGATATTCTGTAGTAACCTGTCGTTTTGTTTTGCCTCTGCAGAACTCTTGCCGAATACTGCAGCAAACTGAAATCCCTAAAAGTAAAGCACTGCCACAACGTGACCGAGTCCAGCTTAGGAATCCTGAGGAAAAGAGAAGTAGATTTAGACGTGGAACCCCCTTTACAACGTGCGTTGGTTCTGCTGCAGGACGTTGTTGGATTTGCACCATTTATTAATCTGCAAATCTAGCAAGCTGCAAGACAGCGAGCAAACATCCCTTCGACTCTCTTTTTCTTTCTGCTCTTATGTTTTGCTTCATAAACGCTGGCAATAAGAAAGCCATCATGCCCTGAAACATTGCCAGGATGGCACACTGACTGTAGCTGGACTTTACAGTTAGCAGTAAACTTTTAAAGATGCGATGAGGACGAAGAACATTACTTTGTGCTAGAGGCAGTGCAGATTTACTGTTCTAATTCAACAGGAGGTTGGATCGTGATTATTAGCACACAGCACATTGTGGTATTTTGATTTGTAGACATTTTACAGGAGAAACATTCGATCATCAGGCTAGACCTGTAGGCTATGCTTATTTATTAATGTAGAAGAGTCTTCTGCATGCCCCATCAAACAGTAGAGATGTTCACAAACAGACACACAGCTTGGTTATTGTACATACTAGAATTACAGAACAGCTTTGGTTATGACCAATCTCTTGTAAATGTGTCTAAAATTTATTATGATTTTCAATTGCTTTGCTGAAAGTGTTCTGTGGTTAGACATCTCAATAAACGAAGTCGATGTAGTGTTTCTTCCTTACTTAATGTGAATTATTAGTCGTCGTAGTATTTATAGAAAGCCAATGGATTTCCCAGCACAAAGAGAGCTAGTTCTCCTGCTTAACACTATTAACCATCCCAAGTTAATAATAAAAGTACTGAAGCAGAGCTTTGACTTCCCTGTTGCAGAGAAGTCAAAGCACTGCTTCAGTACTTGTATTAACAACTTGGGATGGCTAGGCTGATTTGCCCACAGGTTATGGTGTTTAGAGTGTCCCTTTCATTTTGTATTAAAGGGACACTATAGTCACCAGAACAACTACAGCTTAATGTAGTTGTTCTGCTGTTTATAATTATGTCCCTAAAGGCTTTTTAATGTAAACACTGCCTTATCAGAGAAAAGGCAGTGTTCACATTACTGTCTAGGAACACCTCTAGTGACAGTCACTCAGTCTGCCATTAGAGGTGCTTGCAGCATAGACATTCAGCATCTCCACACTCTGCATGGAGGCTCTAAATGTTTCCCATAGATATGCAGAGGGGCGTTTTGCTTCACGTGCGCATTAGCCTCCCAATTGTTTTTCTATGGGAAAGCATTGGAGTGGCTGAGATCGTCAATTTTGATGATCTCAGCCAAGGAGGCGGTGCACTGGCAGAGCCGCGACCGGACCAGTGTTATGCTGGAATAAAGGCAAGACTTCACACTTTTTAAGGGGGGCCAGCCACCTAAGAAGAATTTTTAACACTATATTGTTAGGAACACGTTTGTTTTCCTGAAATTAGTGTTCCTTTAAATTTGAACAGTGAATATGAATAACACTCTTCATATGTTAAACTTGAAGTGCTTTTTATAGTTTGAAGAATAGGTCTTTTTTTTTTTTTTTTACATTTTTAAAAAGTGCAGATTTCAGTAGATATTGGCACTTTTATAACTTAAACTTGAGAACTATCCTTGGTTGTCAATCAGACAACAACCTCTTACTTCCTAGAAGTTTTAGCTCAGTGAATCTAAAGTCAAGAGTCAGGCAGTTGCGCAGAGCACCCAGTCTTGAAAACACTGTCTTCTGGTATTTAGCCCTCTGCCTGGTTTAACTGTTTATGAACCTGTGCTACCTGACCTTTGGTTATCCTGACCACATCTTTGCTTGAGCCATATCTGTACCTCGATTTTGTTGTTCTGTTGCAACTTCCTGCTGCGTTTTGGGCTCCTTCTGCTAAACCTTACATTATGGGATAACCTCAGCAGTAATATAGAAAAGTAAGTGAACATCAGTAACTTACGGATTTGCTCTGAGCTCTATCAAATGGCAAATGCTGAAACTTTTAATGCATTGCTTCAGTATCGTCATTTTTAACACATTTTCTATATAATGGATGAAAATAAACAGAATAGGCCAGATCTAGCCTAGAATTTACTGTTAAAGGACCACTATAGTGCCCTGAGGGTGCCCCCACCCTCAGGGCTCTTGGGAGAGGAAGGGGTTAAACTTACCTCCTCCTCCTCTCCTCTTCGGCTGAATACGCAGGAGCTGCGCGTGCAGCCAGTCCATAGGAAAGCATTCACAATGCTTTCCTACGGACGCTGGCGTCTTCTCACTGTGATTTTCACAGTGAGAAGCACGCAAGCGCCTCTAGCGGCTGTCAATGAGACAGCCACTGCAGGCTGGATTAACCCTATTATAAACATAGCAGTTTCTCTGAAACTGCTATGTTTATAAAAAAAGGGGTTAACCCTAGCTGGACCTGGCACCCAAACCACTTCATTAAGCTGAAGTGGTCTGGGTGCCTATAGTGGTCCTTTAACTGTTTTTGTTATTTTTATAATGCCGAGGTGTATTCCCATATCAATACTTTGTCTACAAGTCAAAACAAAGATTTTGTAGCACATGTTACAGGCGGACCTAATGTGATCTCTGTGGACAAAAAGTCAAAGAAGTGGAGTCCATGTCAGCAGTACAACATAGTTATAATATGACTCATTAAACCCATTTTTAAAAGGACACACACACCTCAAGTACTTCAACTTGCAGAAATGCTTTATGTGTGATGTTATTTTACAAAAAAGTGCAGATTTCAAAATAAATTTACACACTTATAAATGAGCCTTTTTACACTTCCTTAGCCATCATAAAACTAATCCTGTTGTCAAGAGACAGGAAATTACTCAGCCACCTGCCTTGCAAAGACTTATCTCTGAGCTGCACTGGGAAGTCTGTGATTGGACAGCCACAGAAAGTCAGGGCTGGGGAAAAGGAGAGAGCTTGCAGCAGAGAAGAGATTTGAAGCTTTTGCAAGTTTTTTTGATATTGCAAAAAAAAAAAAAAAAACTGCATACTTGTTTTTATTGGTGTTTATATCTACTAAATAGTTATTAAAATTTTGTATTTATTTGCACAGTGGAGTTTTCCTTCAAGTCCAGGTAATTCAATTCTGATGCCAAGAACTAACGTGCGAGCTAGAAAACAAGTCAATGCATAAACCTCTCTGTTAGGGTGCCCAGGATCAGCTGTCCCAATGGACAGTAAATAGATGACCTCAAAATCCCCTTCTCGGAAAAGAACTGAGCATGTTTAAGGGCCTATATTCTGAAAGGGCTGTTTTCATAAACGTCCTACGATCTTGACATCCCCTGTCTCTCTTCCCCAACATGCTATCAACTAGGACGAGGCGAGGTTGTAGAATTAAAGACACAAAAACACCTTCTTAAACATCCCAGGTTTTAGAAAAAATAACCCAGTAGTCCTCTTTTCGAATGTCAATACATTTTTACTGCATTGCATACTCAAACTGACAGTCTGATCTATATTTCTGCAATATGTTTCAAAGACCCCCATCTAAGAGCCAGAAGAAGTGTCAATTGTTCTAACTAGCTAGAAATCACACTGTACCAAGAAACCAAGCCTTGACATACACTTTAAGACTATCAAAAAACTAGATTCTTGAAACATCCATGAGTAGTTTATCAAATTAATGAGAAGACAAATGTAAAGCAAACTATTCCCTTCTGTTAAGCCTGATCATTTCCCATTTACCATTATCTTGCCAAAAATGGATAATGCAGGACAGAGTTCTCCAAGTTTTCTTATGTGGCACAAGAAAAAAGCTTGTTTTTTTGTGGGTTTTTTTTTTTTAAATAAATTTGAATGCCCAAAATTGTGATTTTTCTTTAAGTTATACTTCCATAACTGTACAGGAGAGTGCAGTAATAAAAGACTATGATCAAAAAAAACGAATGGAAAAATCTCTCTTAAAAGGGACTCTCCAGTGCAGGTCCCCTCTCCCTTCCACCTCCCATCCCCAGTTTCTGAAGGGGTCAAAACCCCTTCAGTGACTTACCAGAGGCAGTGACGATGTCCCTCGGCGCTGCTTCTTGGTCCGCCCACGCTCCTCCCCGTCACCACGTCAGCGGAGACCCAATGCGCATGCGCTGCATTAGACCTCTCCATAGGAAAGCATTGAAAATGCTTTCACGGCTTTCCTATGGTGATTTTAGCGACGCTGGAGGTCCTCACACAGCATGAGGACGTCCAGCGACGCTATAGCACAGAAAATCTGTGCTATAATCCCGGAAGTGCCCTCTAGTGGCTATCTAGTAGACAGCCACTAGAGGAGGAGTTAACCCTGCAAGGTAATTATTGCAGTTTATAAAAACTGCAATAATTACACTTGCAGGGTTAAGGGTAGTGGGAGTTGGCACCCAGATCACTCCAATGGGCAGAAGTGTTCTGGGTGCCTGGAGTGTCCCTTTAATACCACCCACATTTATCCATAGTATCAGAAGCAGACACCACCCATTTATAATTTGAGGTCTTAGGTTAGGTTACCTCATTGAATCAGATTTAAAAACCCACAAAACACAATTTAGCAAAATATCTGTAATCAAAAATACTATTTAACAGGTCTCTTCAGGTAACACGATTCCTTTTACCAGACAGAGGCAGAACTTAATAAAGGAATATTTATTAGAGCTAAAAATGGACACAGTATTGCATACATACAAAAATAGATAGTAAATAACCTAATATGCCAACAAACAGCATTCTGTATGTATATATATATATATATATATATATATATATATATATATATATATATATATATATATATATATATATATATATATATATATATATATATATAAACAGGAGGCACAATTATTAATCTCCAGATTGTTATTAATGTTTTTTTATTTTGAATATGACTGGCTACTGATTTTTAATTGTTGATTTGCATATCAAAAGGTTCTGTTGAGCAGAGCACCAAAAGGCCTAAACCAGCAGGTCTGAGTAAAAGGGCCCTTGGGTGCAACGTTTGCCAACAGGCCAAAGGCATATGGGTTTAACACAGAGGAACCTAATTCACAACCCTTTTCCTGTAATCTAACCTATGGTACACACCTCTAGCTAAAACAGCCAGATTAACCCTTCCAGTGCTATAATCAGCCATTCCACCTCTAACTGTAACCAATCCCTGCATTCACTACACATATCCATTGATTAACAATATTGTTTTCTAATACAACAATGGATCATGTTTACTGGGCATAACACTCATGGTTGGTAGAGTGAGGGAAATATTACATTCCTAAGATCCCGAACCAAGACATTGAGGGGTAGAGTTGGTTCATACAGATTGGCATGGTCATTTACCAGTTTCTGATTGTGGTAGTAGATGCCTATTCCAAGTGCACAGCCAAACATCATACTATGTACCAGCCATATATGGGCAGCAGGCTGGCCCCACAACAGAAACATAAAATGGACACACACAGAGATGCAAGCACATCCAGATTTATTGGATAAACCTTAAAAAGATCACCTACATTTCAATTAGAGATTACATTAATGGATAAAAGTGAATACGAAAGGAACAATTCTTTTTATATTAATACAAACTCTGATCGCATGCAGTGGTTTATTACACAACACACAAAGTAAAAGTATACTTTTATCATTTAGTATTTGTATTACCTTAATAGTTTAAAAGAACCACAAATGCATCTTTCAGCATTGGAAAATGTATATCAAGAAT